CCTTGCACGAGTCGCAGAGGAAGACTTTCAGCAGGCTGCTGCACAGCTTATGCAGGCATCTTTGCATGCCCTCAACAATGACGATTCAGATATCGTCAGGGTGTCTTGCATCCGGGCGTTGCAAAACTTTGTAAACGTGCTGCCGCGTGCTCTGACTAGTCCGCATCAGTCTCTGCTGATCTCTTCCTTTTCGAATTTCATCGCTTCGCAGGATGTGAGTGAACTTGCAGAGAGCGATGATGTGCTCATGACGCTGGTGGAGTCGTTGAAAGACATGATCCTTCTGGATGCAACTGCTGGTCTTACCAACGGCGGTATCGACTTGCTCTTGACATTGGGAAGACACGGCACGTCAAACTTCCAGATTGTACTGCTCGTCTGCGAGACGTTTGAAGAGATTGCCGGTGCCGTCTCAGCCAATGGACGGGATTCATACGTCCGGCTTTCAGACAAAATGATTCCATCACTCTTGAAAGCATTCGACGTAGCAACCTTGGAATCAAACGACTCCTTAGCCGGTCTCGCCGCCGACTTACTATCCATCCTCGCCGAAAAAGCATGGACGCCAATGCCACCCGGCTTCGTCGCAAGCGTCATGCCCCGACTGAGCAATCTCCTCCTTCAATCCGAAGACGACGAACTGCTGAAATCAGCAACAGCAGCACTGAAACACATGCTCAGCAACGACCCCGAGCAGGTCTTTGCCTACACAGACCAAGCCGGCCAAGGTGGACTCCAAGTCGTACTCATCATCATCGACCGACTACTCAACCCAGCCATCAACGAAAATGGCGCAGTAGAAGTCGGCGGCCTAGCCGCCGAAGCAGTCGAAAAAGCCGGTGCGGAGCGTCTGGGCCCTTATCTCCCCCAACTCCTCCGCGCAGTCGCCATCCGACTCGCCAGCGCCGAAAAAGCCCATTTCATCCAAAGCCTCATCATGGTCTTTGCACGACTATCCCTCATCTCCGCCCCAGACGTCATCAACTTCCTCGCCGATGTTAACATAAACGGCCAGAACGGCCTTCACATCGTAATGAGCAAATGGCTCGCAAACTGCGTCACATTTGCCGGATACAATGACATTCGCCAGAGGTATTGACATCTCTATAAAAAAAAATCAGGCTGACAATGGTAATAGCGTAACCGCCCTCGCGAGCATCTACAGCCTAGAGGATGCGCGACTGATGAATATCCAAGTCAAGGGGGATTTGGTCGTTCCGAAGAGTGACAGGATTGTTACCCGCTCAAGGGCGAAACAGCAGCCGGAGCAGTATACTACCATATCAGCACAGCTGAAGATTTTCAAAGTCCTTGCGGATGAGGTTTTGGTAGAGAAGGATCCCACCTCCGCGGGGGCACTAGCTGAGACGAATGACGACGATGATGCGAGTGATTGGGAAGATGAGAGTGATTCGTTCTTGAACCTTGCGTCGGGCATGACGAAGGCGGAGTTGATGGCGTATGGGAATGAAGAGGCAGAGGTTAAGGTGAGGGATGATCAGACGCAGGGTTTACTAAGGGATTTTTTCACGCAGCAGGCGCTAAAGCCGGGGTTTGGGGAGTTGTTTAATGCTCTGACGGAGGAGCAGAGGGGAAAAGTGAGGAGTGTTGGGAGGTAGACATGAAGCTGGGATGCTAGTATCCATGAAGTTATGTCCAGCGTGGGTAGTTGATCTATCAATGACAATCATCCATTTCATCCCTTCTAGTATCTTCAGCGAATCAACAGGTTGGTTTATCATCCTCTCTCTCCATTCGAGTAATACCCCCAATCACTCCACAGGCGGAACAGGCTCAACACGTCTAACCACCCTAGCAGGAACACCCATAACAACACTCCACTCTGGCACATCCTTATTAACCAAACTCCCCGCCGCAACCGTACTCCCCCTCCCTACCTTTACCCCCCCTAGTATGGTAACGCTACCACCAATCCAACAATCATCCCCAATGCTTACCGACTTAGCGTACTCAACACCCTCCCTCCTCGACGTAACATCAGTCTCATGCGTCGCGGCGTAGATGCTTACATTCGGCCCGAACATTACACGATCCCCGATTGTGACCAGCGCGCAGTCGAGGATGGTTAAATTGAAGTTACTGTAAAAGGAAAGGCCGAGGGAGATGTTGGAGCCGTAGTCGACTTGGAGGGGGGGTTCGATGAAGGTTCCGCTGCCGCAGAAACCCAACAAGGAAGATAGAATTTTGAATCGATTGGCAGCTAAGACTGACATGGATTCTTCCCCCTGACTAACTCCCTCTGATTTGTTTTCCTTCTGACGCTCAGAAGAATTTCCCTCGGCTGTGAGAGTTTTTGGGGTTTGCTCCATGGTTTGAGACTGGGCCTCGGGTTTCACTGCAGAAGATCCCACCTTCAGGGAGGATCCCTCACTCGGCACGGGGTTTGTCTCATGCTCCCCGCCCTCCCTACCGGTTGGAAAAGAGGGAAAAGTAGTGTTATATTCATGACAAATCTTCCGCGCTCTGAAGCGAGCCGCTTCCAGCTCGGGGGTGAATGCATCGTACAACATGCCGGAGATCATGCGCTCGTATTGCTCGCACCAGGGGATATTGGATAACTGCCGGGCGAGGGAGAGTTGGGATTTGTCTTTTTGTGTTGCTGCCATTTTGATTCAAGTGAGTGGGCTGGGATGGAAGAGGGGTAGAGTGGAAGAAAAAAAGGAAAAGGGATATATTACATCCGTGGGTGGGGAACTGACAAGGTGATGGTGTACGCGAGAAAGATGTTCTATCGTATTTTGATTTTAGTTGATTTGGATGGCTAAAATATGGAAGTGATTGGGACGTTGGTATGGAGGATTTTCTCCAATGGAAGGGTGGTGAGGGAGCTGGGAATAGTTGGGCTACAGACTACCTAGGTTATATTTATGGAATAAGAATAAAAGCTTCGCTTGCTGGTGTCCTGCGGGATGTGTAGATGTCCCTCCCTCTCTCGTTGGAAGTCACCCATCATCCCAACGTCACTGTACCCCCACCAACCCCCAAACACAGCTTTAGTTCCCTGAAATACACTAACCCAACACAGCCTAGCGCATTCTACCATCAACCTCACCCAACCCTACTCACCGCTACGGAAAGAAAGAACACCATGTCCACGAAACGCAAACTCCCGATCCCCGACGCCCAGCAAGCCTTCAAATCCGTCAAAATCTCCGCCACGTCCTCACCCCATAACTCCGACGAAGCCGGTCCCGAGCTTCCTCCCGCGACCAATACTGACCTCGACCCCCAATCGCCAATTTCCGAAGACGAAGAAGGCGACCGCTTCTTCTCCAGCGGCATAGACACCACCACTATCTCCGCATTAGACTACATCGACACCCACTCTCCTCCTCCCACGGTCATCAACCCAGTCTGGCTCAAACGCGCAATCGCAACCCTCTCAAAGAAACTCTCTCTCAACACCTCCCTCCGCGCCCAATACCCTACTGAACCCCAAAAATTCATCGACTCCGAAGCCGACCTCGACGCGGAAATCAAAACATTCAGCATTCTATCCGAACACCCTGAGCTCTGGGATGAGTTTGCAAGTGGCAAAGGACCCGAGGTTCTGGTCGGTTCGCTCGCGCACGAGAATGCGGATATTGCGATTTCGGTGGCGGAGGTGCTGGGGGAGGTTCTTGATCCTGAAGAGGGAGGCAGTGGGGCGAGGGGGAGGGTGATTGCTTCGCTGATGGGGTGTGGGCTTGTTGATTTGATTTTGATGAACCTACAGAGATTGGATGAGAAGGAGGAGGTCGATAGAGGGGGGGTTTTTCATTTGTTGGGGGTGGTGGAGGGGGTGGTTTCTGCGAGCGCTGGGGAGGGAGGTGATGCTGACGCAGCCGCTTCCCAGCTAGGTGAAAGAGCGGATCTGATCAATTGGTTAACGACCCGCATGGGGAAGGATGAGGCCATTCTCTCCCAGAATAAGCAGTACGCCGCCGAAGTTTTGCAGATTATTCTGCAAACATCCCCTGCTGCCCGTCGGATTTTTACGAATATTCCCGACGGGGTAGATCTGCTACTCCGCCAAGTCTCTGTGTTCAGGGATGCTACCCTCCCGAAGGGTTCTTTAGAAGTGGAATTCGCAGAAAACCTCTTCGATTCCTTGACCTGTCTCGTTGGCGAGGATGAAGGGAAGAAACTCTTTCTCGACGCAGAGGGGGTGGAGCTTTGTTTACTTTTTCTTAAAGAGAAGAAATCATCCCTGAGGGGGGCGGTGTTGAGATTGTTGAATTATGCTCTTCTCAGCAATTCCACCATTACTCCTACCAGTGACGGGGCTGAAGCTGCTGAGCGTACCAGCCGCGGCGATGGCAGCTCCAGTGGCGGTCGCGGCGGCAGCAACGGCACCATCCTTCCCCCCGATCCCCGACCCCCAGTTACCCTCCTCCTCTCCACCCGTCTAATAACTTTCTCCGGCCTCAAAATCCTCTTCCCCCTCCTTCGCAAACCCTTGCCCTTATCCCAACTCACGCACCTCCTCTCCCTCCTCGCCACCCTCTTATCAACCCTCCCCGGTACCTCAGAAGAACGAATCCGCCTCCTCGCAAAATTCGATACCGCGAAAATCACATCCCTCCTCTCCCTCAAAGAAAAACTCTCTGGTCCCGGCGAAGCAGAGGAGTATGCTGTTCAATTGATAGATTTGATTCTGGCGTGGTTAGTTGCGGAGGGGCAGGAGAGAGGTTTTATTCTCCAACGGGTTGATAAAGAGGATATTAGGGAGTCGTTGGGTATTAGGGCGGAAGGATTAGAGGAGGAGAGGGATATGATTGGGACTTTGATTGGTTTTCTATAGGGGAAGGGATGGCGGGTGTACATGCCTGTAGGTGTTTAGAGCGTATGGGGAAGATAATAGTGACTGAGCAACCACCACGAAATTTGAAAAAAAAAAAGACGTTTGAACAGTAGGATATGATGATTAGGAATGGTTTGGTTGAATAGAGAGGAATGCCTGGCAAGGCTGATGGCAAGAAAAAAAGTGGAGATTCCATTACACCCAGCGAGATTCGAACTCGCGACTTTCGCATTACAAGTTTGCAAATTATCATATGTAATTCCGCAGAATCAATATAAGAACGACACGCTAAGCCACTGCGTCATGGGTGTTTCTTAGACAAGCCCCGATAACCTTTACTTTAGGAGGGGCGGTATATATACCTCGTGGAGAGAATAACCCGGGGATTTACCGAGATAATCTCAATCTCAATGACCTTTCCTGCTAAAGGATGATTATATAGCAGGTCATCTCCATCTCCTTACATCAATCCCACCAGCCACGCATTTTGACAGCGGAGACAATCGTTTGTAATGTACATGTACAGAGTAGGGTATCTACAACTCCCAACGCCATGCCATGCACATTCCATCCCTACCTCACCAAATCCGCAATCTTCCCCGCCACAGCCTTGGGATATCCTCTACTCAGCGCCTCACGTACGACCCTGCGAGCGGAAATATTATTCCCATCCGCCAAATACGCACGCACCATCGCCTCGTAGGTGCTCGGCTCCCGCTTACTCACCGGCACACGTTCATACGCTTCCCTCGCTTTCGTAATGTTCTGTTCCTGGCTCCATCCTGTGATTAACGCGTTGGCGATGTAGGGTGTGAATTCCACGCTACGGATTTCCATGTCTTTGACTACTTCGTCGCTGGCTTTGATGGAATGGTTGGCGTTCATGCTTTCGAAGAGGGCTTGGTAGAGCGCCGGATGCGGCTGGGAAGTGACGACAGAGTCAAAGAGGGCTCGGGCAGAGGGGAGATCATGCAAATCACAGCCTTTGGCGTGGATGAGGGCTGCGTAGTGGATTGCTCCCGGCTGAAGGCCTGCGGCTTTGATGTCGTCGAGGACGGACTCGGCGGCGGACATGTTGATTGGTTCCATGGTCGCGTGAATGTCGATTAGGAGACGGAAGGTGTGGGCTGTGGGTTTGATGCCTTGGTGGAGCATACGGCGGTAGTAGGCCATGGCTTTGGTGCGGTCTCTTTTGATGGTGATGAAGAATTGCATCATGGAGTGATAGGGAGCGGGACGTGGTTTATAGTTCCTAGCGTTCTCCATTTCGTCAAAGATTTCCTCGGCATAGGTTTGGTCGGAAACGCGGCAGAGAGCGTTGACGATGGTGCCGTATGTGACTGATGTCGGACGGATGCCGCGGTTGCGCATGTCGTCGAAATATATGAGACAGTCATCGATACGACGGGCCTTGCCTAGCTTGCCGATGAGTGCGTTGTAGAGGAATGAAGTGGGTTCAACGCCCTCGGCCTGGGCAGTCATGAAGATGTCAACAGCCTCGGATGCCTCGTCAAAGGTCTTGGGGCCGGCTTTCAGAGTGGTGATGTAGAGGCCAAACGTGTTGGCAGAAGGCGCCAGGCCGATGGCGAACATCTGCTGATGGTACATGGCTGCCAAATCACGACGGTTGGAGAGGAGAGAGGCGGCAACAAGATGGTCCATCAACTGCTGCCACCTGAAGCGGGAGACGTCATGCGTACTGGTAATCGGGATATCGTTGCGGGCCATGGCATAGATATCTTGGGCCAGATCCAGTCTGTCGCTCTTGGTAGCCACCTCAACAAGCCTCAGATAGGCTTGCAGGCTGGGCGCCTTGCCGCTACGACGCATGGCATTGAGCTGGTCCATGGCGTCGTTTAGACGCGGTTGATGTCCCAGCATATCAATGATGGCGTTAGAGCCAATGACATCTTCAGGTTCCCCGTACGGGGTAGCAGCCGGGACGGGCTGTAGAGAGGGTGCAAGTGGACGACGCTGAGCGAGATATTGGTCCCACAAGACGTACAAATCAGGATGTCCCACGACAGTCAGCGCTTTGTCGATTGCGGCCATGGTCTGAGGCGAGGAAGTCAGTGAGATGGAGGTAGCTGCCTTTATCAAGCTTGCCAGACGGTGCGTCGCGGCCACGTCCATGGCAAATTCGTGGACGATCATGTCCGACTGCAGACGAAGCAGCAATTCAACCGCCTCCGGACCCAGCTGGGCGATTTCCCCTTCGCCAAAGCGGGCCATGATATGCATCTTGATATGAGAGTGGACACCGCCGTTTTCGCTCATGGCAGCTAGCAGTTCGACAAAAGCAGCCGCCGGTTGCTTCTCTCTGCAAAGCATAAAGTCACCGATGGTGTAGAGTGCCTCGTCGATGCGGCGGACAACATCAAACAAGGCAAGCTCAGATGCGTGACCACGGCTGCGAGCAAACTCTTCTCGAGCCTCGGCCACACCACACTCGGCCTGGTGTTCAGCAATCAGGCCAATGGCCATCATCGCCGCCGACTCAATGCTAGCAGGCTGGGGAGGGAAGGCCTTGAGGTGGGTAAAGTAGGGAGTGGCTGCTTCGACCTTGGCTCCACGAACATGCATGGCCATCAGAGACATTGCTGGTTGAGCTAGAGTGTTGTCTGTAGTTTTGGAGAGTTTGGTTTGGCCCTCCTTGTACGGTGCCACAGCGACATCATAAGCCTCCACTGCCACGTCGTGAACATTGTTATCAGCCGCCGCCGTGGCAACATCAGCCATGGCCCTCGTGGAAGCAGATCCCTTTATGGAAGCTGCCAAGCCCATTGCCTCACGATATTGCCCTTGTGACAGCGCGCGAGGGATAAACACGCGCGTTGTCAAGTAGTCGCGTAGCTTGGCAAAGTACTCACTGGGATAGTCATTTTTGATTCGAGACATGAATCGTTCGCCCTTTTCTGGGTGTTTAGCCAAACCATATGCGCTCATCATAGCACCATAAACGTGTTCGTCAATGCGCATAATGTTGTTTTTGCCCGCCGTGTGTGCAATGGCCAGTTCTTTGTACTCGTTGTAAAGGTCGACTGCAGTTTTCAAGTCACCCAGCCAACCCATGGCCGCAATCATGGAGGGGTAAATGTATGTCAGCGGTTCAGAATTTTGCGCTTTCAGATAGGCATATACCGTCTCCATGTCGGCAATTCTGCCGTGATTAGCACAAGTAATTATCAGAGCCGCACAATCAACAGCCGGAACAACGCCGTGTTTGGTGGCCCGTCCAAATAGCTTCAATGCCATTTTCAGGGAAGAGTCTTCAGACAGCATCTTATGCTCGGCCTCTGTGGATGCAAACATGAACGATTCCGGCCGGTCAAAGCCGCCAAACCGTAGACGACGCTGCTCCACGTCTTTCAGCATGTCCATACAGTCGAGGCTACGACGAGAGAGGAGGTGAATGAGCATTCCAAACGTCTCTTCGTCCGGTACGACATTGCGGTGGAGCATGTCTGTATAGATCTTCAATGCTGCTGGTACTTTTTCGTGTTTCCCAAGCGTCGTGTGGATAGATGACAGTAGGAGAGCGCGATATGCGGCCGCTGGAGGTTGCTTGACCCCGCTCAAGAGCATCGCCTGGAACGCCGGCGGGATCCGCTCATACTGCTGCAGCTCGGCAAAGTTGATCAGTTCGCGAGTGAATATCTCGGCTGTGGAAGTAGCCTCTGCTGTTTCTGCCGGTGCCGTCTCTCCAGCTGCTGCTGCTTCTTGCACTGCTGCCACCTCCTCCACCATGGCCTCGCTGACCTGCTTTACGACAGCTTCCTTAGTTCGGCCATCTCCAAGGGCCTTGTCAAAATCATCCAAGGCACTAGTAGTGTATGACCGTGTGAGCGAGGGCAGCTCTAGCTTGGCGACTGGTTCCGCCCTGGCCAGATGCTCCAGCTGCTTCTCTGCCTCGACCAGATGATCCAACACTTCCTCCGTCTCTGTCTGAGCCTCTACCGAGGGGAGAGCAGGCCGCTGCCTCTTCACCAACGGCAGCTGCGGCAGCAATTTGCCGCTCTTGAGCGACTTTTGCAAAGCGTCGACATATTTTTCGAGTGCCGGATCCGGGACACCAGTGTCCTGTCGCGCGACCTCACCAAGTAGACTGCCATTCTGGAGTCTGTTGCGCTCCGCCCTTCGGATGCGATGAGAGAGTGTGTCGGCGAGACCGTTGTTCTGCGGAAAATTCGAATTCTGGCTGGCTGCAACGAGAGTCTGGGCGTAACCGTGTGTAAACGACTTGAGCGCTGAGCCAGCAAGTCGCGAAAGGTGGACCGTGGGCTTGACGTACGGCATTCAGTTCGTGTCCGTGTTGGTGTAAACGGCTGGCCTGGACGATTCCGTTCCGTCCCGATTACGTCAGGCATTTCGTATGCCTCAGGCCCGCTGCCTCGGGCTCTTCATCTGCTGCCTCAGGCAACTCTAGCTTCATGCCTCAGGCACACCACACAGCTGTCAATGCCTCAGGCAATCCCACAACCACAATATGACCGCCGTCTCCGCACCAGGCAAAGTCCTCCTAACAGGCGGCTACCTCGTCCTCTCTAGATCCCACACCGGCCTTGTCCTCTCCCTCGACGCACGGATCCATATCCTCATCCAACCCTCCCTGGACACCACCAACACAATCATCACATCCCCACAATTCCCCCACGCAAAATGGACATACACCCACCCAAGCAGCATCACCCCCTCAAACCCCTTTCTTGAATCAACTCTATACTACACACTATCCTACCTCTCCACAGTAGCCCAACCCATCCCACCAGTCAAAATCACCATCTTATCCGATAACGCGTACTTTTCCTCTCCGAATCCCGCCAGGGACCCTTTCCAAAGCTATTTCACCCCTCTAGAATCAACCCCTAAAACCGGCCTCGGCTCCTCCGCGGCGTTGGTAACATCCCTCACTGCGGCCCTCCTAACACACCACCTCCCCCCATCAACCTTCACCATCACTTCCCCCTCAGGGAAACAGTTAACCCACAACCTCGCCCAAGCAGCGCACAGTGCCGCACAGGGGAAGATCGGTTCAGGCTTTGACGTTGCCGCGGCCGTCTACGGAAGTGGGATCTACCGCCGCTTTTCACCTAACATTCTCTCCTCCCTAGCGGGAGTGCGGGGTTCTGAAAATTTAACATCACCAGCGGGGGTGCAAGCTCCCGATACCTCAACACCCCCAGCGGGGCTGGCTCCCGAAAATTCATCACCCCCGCCCCCAGCGGGTATATGCCCCGCTGCCTTCCCCGCTACCCTCAAGTCCCTCGCCGAACGCCCCTGGGACGGTGCCATTCATCCATTAACTCTCCCT